TTTAAAACGGATTCAATTTTTCTCAGCCAAAATAGTCTCTTAGAAGAAAATGAGAATTCAAGTCATGAGAGTATGTTCCAGCATTACTAGTTCATTCAATCCCCCAAAATATCCTAGGATGGATGTCAAAGAAAAGAAATGTTGTAAATTGGTAAAGAAGATAAAGTTAGAAATCTAAAACTGCTCAGTAAATCTGAAAAAGTAAAACTGGAAAAAGATTATGGAGGGGACAGTTATTAAAAAGAGTAAGTAAAAAAAATGGAGAAGTCAAGCAATGGGAAAGAGAATAATATAAAAGTTAGATGAAAAGGCTGAAACCGGTTTGGCTCAGTGGATAGAGCGTCGGTCTGAGGATTGAAAGATCCTGGGTTCGATTCCCGTCAAGGGCATGTACATTGGTTGCGGGCACATCCCCGGTGTGGGGTATGCAAGAGGCAGCTGGTCGATGTTTCTCTCTCATTGATGTTTCTGGCTATCTCTTTCCCTTCCTCTCTGTAAAAAATCAATAAAATAGATTAAAAAATAAAAATGAAAATAAAAATGAAAATAAAATAAAATGGGCCGCCCCTGCTCAATGTTAGCCTCCCTCCCAGGCCTTTCCACCCAGACAGAGTTCTGTGGCAACGGAAACCTCCTTCTTCCCACCTAGCTGCTCCTTTGCCTCTTTCCCTCCCCAGAGATTGCCTGCTGGCGCTACTATCTGACTGGAATGAGGAAAGCCACAGCTGATTTCCCAGCCGAGAGTGGTAGTGGGAAAATCGCTGCCTCCACTGGAAATCAATATTAAGGCGGATGGGCAGGTGTGGAAGCCAGAGTGTGGGCCACAGCCAGTAGGTCCTGGCACATTTCATCATTTAGCTAATCAAGTTGAAAGTTTCTGTAAGGGCCAAACCCACGACCTCAGCAATAGGCTAGAAGCCCAGTGGGGAGGCAGACCCAAAGAGGGTCAGGATTCATGCACTGATAGGGTCCCTCAGGGATCAGGCTGAACCAGCTCTCCGACATCCTCCAAGGGGTCTTGGATTGCAAGAGGGCGGTTCTCGAGTGATGCACCCTGAAATCGGGCTCCCTCCTCTCTGGTTCCAGGTGCATCACTCAAGAACTGCAGCTGCCAAGTCACCGCAGCTCAGCAGCTTCTGCAATGAGCCTCTACCCCCTAGTGGTCAGTGTGCATCATACCTACTGGTTGGACAATTGCTTAGGCTTTTATATATATATATATATATATATATATATATATATATATATATATATATATATATATATATATTGTCCTATTATCCTGAAAGGCTGATCAGAAAATAATTGATAAATATTTATATGGGACATCACACACAGGTCTCTATGAATTCATTATCAAAAGTTAGGTGAGCCTTCAAATACTTATATTCATGCTATATTACAAAATCCCCTCTTCCTTCTCTAGTCCCATTACAACTCCGTTATAGAGAATAGACTGAAGTTGTCTACTGTATCTCCAAAAGCAGGAGAAACAGTCAATAATTACAATAGAAAAGAATGAAGAACTAAAAACAAAACACCCAGAATAAATCTACTATTCAAGCAGTTTAGGTGGAGACTTTACTGAGCAGGAGCACAGATATATGGCACAATAAAAGAACACTCATGCAAAGTTTCTAGATATACACTTACTTACTTTATTTATAATACTTATTATCTATCTATCTATCTATCTATCTATCTATCTATCTATCTATCTTCCTCATAGTCACTGCCCACTGATATGAAACCTGGAAGAAGGTCCTACTTCTGCAAAACATATCGAAACATGACACATACCCTATTATAACCTTTTTCTGTTCCCTGTAATTAAATGGCATGGGTATGAAGCATGTTGATGGCATTGCAAAAATAAAACAGCATAGCATGAATAGTAGCTGCTACCAGGATGGGCTTCTCTGTCCTATTTCACCCTATCCTAGAGAGATGATTTCCGAGATACTATCTTCAATTAGCTCACTAATTCAATTTCAACTATTATTCAGCCTATTAAAAAACTTTCAGTAATCCATGCCCTGGCAGGGTAGTTCAGACAATTGGAGCATTGTCCCGTACACCAAAAGGTTGGGGTTCAATCACCTGTTAGAATACATAAGGGAGGCAACCGATAGGTGTTTCTCTCTCACACCAATGTTTCTCTGTCTCTAAAAGACAAAACACATATCTTTGGGTGAGGATAAAAAAACATTGCAAAAAAACAAAACAAGACAAAAAAAACACACACAAACATTTCATTAACCTGACAAGCAAAAACATAATTTAAAAAGCTGGGTTAAAGAAAAAAAGTTTTACATCTGTCAGTAAAATTGAGTGGAGAAACTTACTGTATTATGTTTTTATTAAAATGGTTTGAACCAAAATATAAACTGAAAAACAATGAAGTGATTAGCATGTTAGTTTATAAACAAGTAAAATAGTACTTAAACAAAGAAATGTTAAGACTGGAAGTCTGGGAGAAACCAAGATGGCAGCATAGGGTAGACACCTGAATGAAGCCTACCACAACAAATTTGAATTTAGAACTGGAAAACAGGGGAGGCATTGCCCTGAAGCACCAGACAGCTAGCTGAAAGGAGGCTCTGCCATCGGGAAGGAGAGAGAAGGCACACTGAACCTCAGGAACTGTGAAGATGCAGAGAACTGTGTACGAAAAGGCACTGGCTTACTCCCGGCGCGTGAAGAGGGAGGGCCGGACCAAGATTGCTGCTGACTTACTCCTGGAGTGCGGAGAGGGCGGCTGGCTTTCTTGTTCAAGAGGAAAACAGAATCACCCTATTGCTTTGATAGACGGCCCTAGTCAGGGAGAGGCCAGATGGTCAGGCAGTGGGCAGAGATCTCTCCTAGGTGTGTGAAGCCAGAGGCCATTACTGCAGGACTTGGGGAGGAGCCAACGGGAAAACAAAGCTTGTCTGCACCAACCCGAGACTCCGCCCCATCCAAGCTGAGCACAGGAGCTCTCCCAGAGGCTGGCTTTCTCTAAGGAGGGACTGGCCAGAATCCAAAGCTTGTCTGTGCCTTTACCAAAGAGGTGAGCGTGCCTGCAACCAATCTCCCGAAACTCACTGCAAACAGGACTTTTCTAAGGTGAGACTGACAGGGAACCAAAGATTGTCTGTGCTACCTCAAGACCCCGCCCCATCCAAGTGGAGTACAGAAGCCCTCCTAACTGAGACACTGCTGATCCTAACAGCCAATTGGCTTGGAGATCAATGCTTCCCAGTGATATCAACAATAAGCAAGGCTTAACAACAAGACTGCACACACAGCCCACAAAGGGCTACACCAAGACTGTCCACCGCAGGTAACTGGGAAGGCTGTGCTACTGGGCTCTACCAGAACACCCAGCACACAAAACTATTCCATCAAATCAGGGAAGCAACTAAAATGCAGACAAGAGGCAGGACACAAAGGAAGGAGATGGAGGAAAAGAAAAGATTGGACATTGAGTTCAAAACTACAGTTATAAGGTTATTCAAGAATATCCTAAAAAAGGCCAATAAAATAAATGAGACCTACGAGGATATGAAAAGGGAGCAACTAGAAATGAAGAAAACATTGTCTGAAATAAAAAATATTACACAGAGTCCTAAAAACAGACTGGAAGATTGCAAGAATAAAGACAAAGATTTAGAACACAAAGAGCCAGAGGACACTCCTCCACAGAAGCAAGAAGATAAGAGGCAAAAGATAGTAACTCACAATGTTAATATTAAATATTACTTCAAAATAAAAAAAATAAAAACTAAAAAAAAAAAAAAAAAAAAAGAAAAAAAAAAAAAAAGAAGAAGATAAGAGAATCCAAAAAGTTGAAGACAGTGTAAGAAACCTTTGGGACAATTTCAAGTGAACCAACATCAGAATTATGGGGAACCCAGAAGAAGAGAGAGAGCAAGATACTGAAAGAATACTGGAAGAAATAGTGACAGAAAACTTCCCCCACCTGGGGAAAGAAATAGACTTACAAGTCCAGGAAGCCAGCAAAACCCCAAACAAAAGGAATCCAAAGAGAACCACACCAAGACACATCATAATTAAAATTCCAAGAGCAAAAGACAAAGAGAGAATATTAAAAGCAGCAAGAGAAAAGCAGGTAGTTACCTATAAAGGAGCACCCATATGATTGTCAGCTGATTTCTCAACAGAAACCATACAGGCCACACGGAAATGGCAAGAATATTCAAGGTGATGAATAGCAAGAACCTACAGCCAAAAATACTCTACCCAGCAAAGCTATCACTCAGAATCGAAGGTCAGATAAAGAGCTTCACTAACAAAAAAAAGCTAAGAGTTCATCACCACCAAACCAGAATTACATGAATTGCTGAAGGGGGTTATTTAGGAAGAGGAAGAAGATAAAGATAAAAATTATGAACAAATACGTAGCTATCAACAAGTGAATCTCAAAACCAAGGGAATTAAAAAATCTGAAGAACAATATTAACTGGTGAATATAATAGAATCAGAGGTATGGAAGGGGAGTGACTGACAATTCTCGGGGAAAAGGGATGTGGGGGTGCGGGAAAAGACTAAACAAAAACTGCACCTATGAATGAGGACAATGGGAGATGGGGAAAGGACAGAGGGTGGGGTGGGAACCTGGTGGAGGGGAGCAATTGAGGAGTAAGGGGGGAAAGAGGAACACATTTGTAATAAACTGAACAATAAAGATTTATTAAAAAAAAAAAAAAAGACTGGAAGTCTGAAAAAAAAAAAAGACTGGAAGTCTGATTAGGAATCACTACCTCATCACAGGAACAGCATCTCAATGTTTGTAAGTTGATACAAGGTAATGGAATATTATTTTAATATACTTAACATAAACAAGCAAATGTAATGTTGCCTTTTTTTTTTTTGTCTAAAAGTTTTAATTTGGAGACTTGCTCTTCTTTCTTAAGATTTGATTTCTTTAATAAGAAATGTATAACACAACTCTTCACAACTTCTGGTAACAAACAAAGTACAACAGATGTTTCACATACCTTTTTGAGATGTCCTAGTCTAAGTTTGAAAATTTCTTCCTGTTCATGATATTCTGCCAAAGTCAACCTGTCAAAAATAAAGTACATTCTAGATATTAAGAATAATAGTTATTATTTCTTATTAACAACCAGCTATATAAAGTTAATCCAATGGAAGTAACGAAACATTGACAACTTTCAACCCAAAATATATAAGGCAAATGTCCTTTTATTCTTCAGAATATATACACGTACAGATAGAACAATGAATTAATGTAAATGTGGAAATTAATGAAAAGTAAACAAAACAAAATATAAACACAGATACAGAACAGACTGACAGCTGTCAGAGGGGCAGGGTTTGGTGGGGAGGGGCTTAGTGAAAATGGTGAAGGGATTACAGAAAAACAACTCATAGACACAGACAACATCATTATGGAGAATACTAGAGGGAAAGTGGGGTGGGAGGAGGAAGAAGAGAGCAAAGCGGGAATAAATGGTGATGGAAGGAGACCTGATTTGGGGTGGTGAATACAATACAGCACACATATGATGTATTATAGAATAGTACCCCTGAAATCTATATAATTTCACTAGTGGCCCAGTGCATGAAATTTGTGCACGGAGGGGTGGATTCCCTCAGCCTAGCCTGCACTCTCTCCAATCAGACACCCCTCTCACAATCTGGGGCCACTGGCTCCTAACCGCTCACCTACCTGTCTGCCTGATTGCCCCTAACTGCCCTCCCCTGCCAGCCTGATCTCGCCCCCAACTGCTCTCTCCTGCCAGGTCTGATCACCGCTAACCACCTCTGCTTGGCTGATCGCCCTCAACTGTTCTCCCCTGCAGGCCTGTTTCGCCCCCAATGTCCCTCCCCACCCCCCCGTTGGCCAATGTGGTTCTGATTGGTCAGTTTCTATGCCAGTCAGTGTCGCCTATCTCTGGGTCTGATCAGCAGCCCCCAATGGCCAGGAGAGAAACAGGTGTGGCTGCTGGCAAAGCCCAGAGAAAGAGAGGCAATGGCTGAGCAACAGCTGCCACGGAGGTTGCAGATCAGACCCTACCTCTCTCTCTAGACCTGATCTGCAGCCCCTTCAGCAGTCAGTGCTGGGTCGCAGGCAACCCAGCACAGACTGCAGGACTGACTTCCAGTATTTGGTCAAGCCTTCAGTCAGTTGTTACAGAACTTGGATTTTTATATATTAGAATTAACCAATGTCACCCCCTAAAATGCAATAAAATTAAAAACACTGCTGAAGGCATAGACTAGTTTTTTCTTGCTGTTTTTATTAATATGTGAGATGAGAGACAAGAGAACAAATTTTAAAAAGTAAGGAATCAGGACTTAACGGCTTAAGAAATTCTCATCCTACCCAAAGTGTGAATTACACTAAAATTGAGGTTCACTGTCAGAAAAGCTTCTCTTAAAAAAAGGAGAAAAGATTGTGTAGCTGGACAATCTTTTGCTAATATCCAAGAGTCCAGAATATTCAGTCACATAGTATTTAACAAGATGAAGACTGGTGTGTGTGACTCACAGATCCCCTCAGCCTTCTCAGCAGCCAAAAATAGTGATGGGATTATTTAGAAAAGAACTGTGGAAGATCCTTTTGTCTAATTGAACGATGAATCATTACTTCATACATAGGAGATCTACAAGATTCTTAAGAATCTTTATATAGCAGAAACAGTAACCGTTTGGATTTAAAAGGTCAGAGAATATATTATGAAAGTCTGTCACATCCCCCAAATTCTATAAGTAAGAAGCAGGCTAATAAAGCTACTCAGCTAGCCAAGACCGGTTTGGCTCAATGGATAGAGCGTCGGCTTGGGGACTGAAGGGTCCCGGGTTCGATGCCGGTCAAGGGCATGTACCTTGGTTGCGAGCATATCCCCAGTAGGGGGTGTGCAAGAGGCAGCTGATGGATGACTCTCTCTCATCGATGTTTCTAACTCTCTCTCATCGATGTTTCTAACTCTCTATCTCTCTCCCTTCCTCTTTGTACAAAATCAATAAAATATATTTTAAAAAAAAAAGCTACTCAACTAAAAATATATATATAATAACTTCATGGGAGACTCAGAATTGTCAAAATTTCGGATCCAGAAGGCAGAGCCACAAACCACAAATAATTATTAGCATACCTTGAAACCAAATCCAGTTTGAGTTTGTCTGATGGATTTGAACCTGCTTGGGATCAAAGATTCCTTTATTTTTTTGTTTAAGCTAGAAACTGTTATCTATGTCTGTCCTCATCACTGTATTTTGAAACAAGCCTGTTTCTTGAGGCTCACAGATTAAGAGGAATTTTGTCTCTGGGTGAATTATACACAGAGACTCTCATACCAGATTTAGACAATGAGGTTTATACTGTTTGAGCTGAAGAGATATAGATGAGATTTTAGATGTTGAGTTAATGCTGTATTGAGGGTGGTTTTTGGGTTTGTTGGAATAGGATGAATAGATGAATATATTTTTCATGTGGGAAAGATGTGAACCTTGGATCAGAGGGAAGACTATGGTAGATAGAATAATGGCTTCCCAAAGATGCTAAATGCCAAACCTTGGAACTTGTGAATGTTACCTTACATAGCAAAGGATTAAATGGAATTAATGGTTGCTAATTAGCTGACCCTAAAATAAGGTGATTATCCTGGATAATAGAGCTATGAGTAAACAAAGAAAAAATTTTTTATCTGAAGGAAATTGGAAAAAAGCAAAGTAGAGGTAACATTTGAACTTAGTTACAAAGGAAAAGAAAGAAGCCAGGAAGATGAAACAGCAGGTATAGGGCCACATTCTCAAAAGCATAGTATGTAGAGATGCAACAACAACAAAAAAACAAACAAACAAAAAAAAAACATACTGCAGATTAAGAAAGTTACCTAACTACTGATATTTTGCTACGAGTTTAAATTACAGATCAATGTTGAATATTATCTCATGTTTCTTATTTTGGCGTCAGTTAAGATGATTATATAAATCTTTATTTTTATATGAAAAATTACATTGATATTCCTCATGTTAAACCAACCTTGCATACCTACTACTGTAAAATAAATCTAACTTGGTCTTGACAGATTACCACTTTAATATATGTTAGGTTGCTAATTAAGACTTTTGCATTTACTTAAAAAAATAATAAAAAAAAGTGTTTTTTTAAAAAACTAATTTTAGAGAGAGAGGAATGAAGAGGGAGAGAAACATGGATCAGCTGCCTCCTGCAAGCCTCATATTGGGGACTGAACACACACATGTACAATGACCAGGAATCAAACCAATAGCCTTTTGGCGCACAGGACAATATTCAACCAACTGAGCCACACTAGACAGGGCTTGCATTTACTTCTATAAGTGAAATCAGCCTATAACATTACTTCCTTGTGCAGACTTGGTTGATTTTGACACCAAGATTTTGTTGGGCTAATAAAATAGAGATTATTTTTGCTGTTCTTCAAAAATGTTATTAAAATACTGACACTATTTCTTTATTAAATGGGTAGTAGGCTACATAGATGAAGTCATCTGTACTCAGAGTTTTCTTTGATTGATGATTTTAATTATAGATTCAATGTCTTTAATAGTTGTAGAACTATTTAAATTTTATTTCTCCTAATGTCAATTTTAAGTTGTATTTTTCTAGAAATGTATCCATTTAAAATTTAACCTATTTATACGTTTGTCTTTAAATATCTTTAGAATATTCCTTTTTTCAGTCATGATTATCTCCTCTCTTTTTAAATTTCATTAGTGTTGTTTTAAAAAAATATATATTTTATTGATTTTTAACAGAGAGAAAGGGAGAGAGATAGAGAGCTAGAAACGTCGATGAGAGAGAAACATCGACCAACTGCCTCTTGCACACCCCCCACTGGGGATGTGCTCGCAACCAAGGCACATGCCCTTGACCGGAATCGAACCCGGGACCTTTCAGTCCACAGACCGACGCTCTACCACTGAGCCAAACCGGCTTCGGCATGTTGTTGTTTTTTTAAACCAACATTCCTTTTATGGGATTGATTCTCTATATCATATGTCTGTTTACTGTTATTATGTTTCTCCTCTTCCTTCTTGGTCTAATTCTGCTACTCACTTCCTACCTGAAATAGATGCTTAGTATATAAAATTTTAGGGTTTTTTTTTTTCCTATATGTGTATACAAGGCTATAAATATAAATATCCTGGTAGATACTGTTTCAGATTTATCTCACAAATTTCGCTATGTAGCACTTTCACTACCATTCATCTAAAAATATTTTCTCATTTCCATTTAGACTTTTCCACAATCCTTTTTGTTATTGACTTTTAGCTGAATTCTATTGTTGTCACAGTTGTCGGCCTAGGGTTCAGAGTCAGGTAAGGGTTAGGGTTAGGGCTAGGTTTAGGGTCAGGGTTTAAGTTAAGGTTAGGATGTATTAACATTTGGAATTCACAATGAATGAGCTTTAATCACTGGACAAATGTAAATGTAACACTGAGAATTCATTCTAATCCTTTAAGTTTCACCCATGAGTCTACCAAACATATAAGGACAAAACAATTCATCTTATTCAAACTCAACACTTTGAAATTTGTTGAGACTTTCTTTGTGATCTAACATAGGCGATTTTTATATAAGAACATATTTAAAAAGAACATATATTCTGCAGAGGTTAGGGGACATGTCCATTAGGTTAACTTTATTAATCCCACTGAAATTTTCTAGAACCATAATGTTTGTTGTTTTGCATCATTTTATTTTTATCTACATGTTCTATATTAAGAAATATGTGTGTTGACATCTCCCATTATGATATGCGGATCTGTCAATATCTTCTTCAAATATTATCAATTTTTAATTATTATAAGTCCATATTATGTACATACAAATTTAGAATTACTGTATGTTCCTAGTGATTTGAACCTTTTATAATGACAAAATAAGCACTTTATTTCTTATGAATACATAGATAAAAATCAAAACAATTTAAAATATACATATTTTAGAATATGTATGGACGTGCCCAGTTCCTTCAGCCCCACCCGAGTGACAGGCGTGCGGCCCAGCTGGGCCCGCCCCCAAGCAGGTCCAGCCACTCCATACACCTGCCGCCCAAGTCCCCCAGCCCCCTTAGCCCCTCGAGGCACAAGCAAGCCTTGGATGGCAGTTGCCTAGCCGCTCAGGACTGGCCAAGGCTTGCGCTGCCATCAGTGGCAGCAGCAGAGAAGTGATGAAGCATCACCTTCCCCTGATTGCTGGGTCTTCTCACTCCCCTGAGGGCTTTTGAAGACGACTTTTGAAACAAAAAAAAGTCAACCGAAAATCGGGGGCAAAAGGCCAAAATTGCACAAAAATTACCTGCAGATCTTGACGGCAAAGTAAGTCTTTTCTTTGAAGGGGGGATAGGGGGTAGTCTTATACAGCGAATATAGGCCTAAACCTATGTTTTAACTGTAAAATTAGGGGGTGGGTCTTATATGCCAGAAAATACGGTATTTAACATGTAAAATATTTTTAAAATCCTCACTGGAGAATTTTTAAAAATTGATTTAAGCCCTAGCTCTTTTAGCTCAGTGGATAGAGCGTTGCCTGCAGACTGAAGGGCTCTGGGTTCGATTCTGGTCAAGGGCACAAGCCCGGGTTGTAGGCTTGATCCCCAGTAGGGGGTGTGCAGAAGGCAGCCAGATCAATGATTCTCTTTAATCACTGATGGTTCTATATATCTTTATCCATTCCTCTTTGAAATCAATAAAAAATATATATATTTTAAAAAACTGATTTGAGAGAGATGGAGAAACATCCACTTAAGATGTTTGTGCCCTGACCGGTAATTGAACTCTCAAATTTTTTTGGGATATGGGACAATGCTCCAACCAACTAAGCCACCCAGTCAGGGCTGAAGTCCAAATCTTCATTAAAATATATCAATAATGTACAATTAATGCAAGAAACACTTAAGATATTATCTATAGACTAGAGGCATGGTGTGTGAAAATTCACGCTCTGGGGGGGAGGCCCTCAGCTCGGCCTGCCCCGTCTCACAGTCTGGGAGCCCTCAGGGGAGTGAGAAGACCCAGCAATCAGGGGAAGGTGATGCTTCATCACTTCTCTGCTGCTGCCACTGATGGCAGCGCAAGCCTTGGCCAGTCCTGAGTGGCTAGGCAACTGCCATCCAAGGCTTGCTTGTGCCTTTATGGGGCTAAGGGGACTGGGGGACTTGGGCAGCAGATGTGGGGCTGAAGGAACTGGGCACTGCCATCTTTGAGGGCTTAAAAGTCAATTAGCATATTCCCTAACCTTATTGTCTGTGGGTGCTGCCATCTTTGTGAGGGTGTGATTGTCAATTAGCATATTCCCTCTTTATTAGATAGGATAATATTAGCTATGTGAAATATATAATAAAACATTGAAACAACTACCTTAAAAACTTAACTGAATCGTGCTAATAGCTGAAACTTAGTTAAGAGCCAGGAATGATGCAATTATTTTACATACATTACCACATATCTTTTAACACTACAATGTAGATACTTTCATAAGTGAGGAAAGGAAGGCTCTAAAAAGTAAAACAGCTAACCAAAAGTAACCTGAAAGAGGCAAGGTTGGACTCTACATCTGTCTGACTATAGGGCTTAAAGTTCTAACCAGTACATAGCATTAACTTCATTTTCTATGTTAATTTCTTCATAAAAAAATCATTAAAGATTCATGATCTCTATTCTAATTATATTAGATATTCTGTACACAAGGCACAGCCTACTTCCCAGTGAACAATGATTCAAAGAGAGTTTTTAGAAGACAGTTGCAGAGTATGGCTGCTAAAATTGAACTATAATATACATGAATAAAGTGCTTTGTGGTTTCTCCCCTATTTAAATCTGCTTCTGCATAAGAATGTAATCAAATTGCTGTGTATATCACTTAATTTGCCACTCCAAGAACACATAGCAGCATAACTTCAGGGTTTCTAAGTCAACATATGCAATAAAATGGGATGGAAATGAGACAAGTCTATGATTATTAAACTACAGTTACAGCTGTTACTATCTTGGAGGTAAGCAGGAAGCTAAACACCTGTAACAAACTAGGAAAAAATGGTCTATTGAATAAGAGAAAATGAAAATCAAATGCTTATGGATTGTAATTTAGTATTTATCTACCACTTTACATATGCCAGGAACTGGGCTAGCTATTAAGACTATGTATAAAGATAAAATAGTGACATAAATGTTACAATATAGACAGGAATGTACAAAAGGCCATGGGCACCTTGGGGAGGTGGAAAACTAGGAAGAAAAAAGGTTAGGGAGAGCTTTCTATTGAAATTGGTATCTGAGCCAAGTGTTTAAGGATGAATAGGAAAAGAGATGAAGAAGGGCAAGGACCAGATGCATAAAGCACAGAAAGCATAGTCCATTTAGAGAACTGGAAGAGTTTTAACATAGGATATACAGGGCAGATGTTGGGGAACAGGATAGAGAGAGAAATAAGAAGGCCTATAGAGGGTTTTCATGAGCGTGAATTTTATCTTGACATATAAGAACAGTAACTGAGGCTAGAGAGGTCAGAAAGTGTCAGATCAAAAGTATTTTAAAAGCTATCTTAATATCATTCAAACAACAGAGAGCTATGTTAGGGTTCTAAAGAACAGAACAAAAGGCTCATAATTCTATCTGGAAAAAAAATGATTGTTTACAACTGAAAATGGATTGGAGGACAAGATCAAAGTTGAAAAGGGGATGTGTGTGTAAAAAAAAAAACCCAAATAAGAGATGGCAATAACCTGAGTTAAAATGGTTATCAGTGGGGACTTATAAAAATGGGTACATTTAAGCTATAGAAGAACAACTTGGTGTCTATTAGGGTGAAGTTAAAGCTAACATACACTTTCTTCTATATAATTGCTCACCTACCCATCGACTCTTTTTAAACAACAAATTTACAAAAAGTAAATCATTTGCTAACGTAAAAAAGATAGCCAAATGTTTTAATTATAATTTACAATCGCCCCAAATTAGGAAAGATTTGAAGAAGGAAGTAATTTTGAGATGGACTTGGAAAGATAAGATTATAAATACCTATTTATTACTGGGAAATGATAAAAATCTTGATCTAAAATGTTAAGGGTGACAACCAAAATTCTAGCATGTGGCATTGAGAGGATGGCAGAACCATTTACTAATAGAGAGAACACAGAAAAAGGCAAGGGGTGTGTGGGTGTGTGTGTGTGTACGGTTGGGGGGAGAGAGACTGAAATAGAAAGATGTATGATGGCATAAAACAAATCCCTAAAAAAACACTTATTTTACAAACTAGTAGAGAAAATGATGTCCAGTCCATAACAGAGACCAAGAAGACAAAGCCAAGTAAGTTAAGTGAAAATTAGGAGAACAAGGTATTTCAACACTAAGACAATAAAAGTCTTTTAAGAAAAAGTTAAGATGCAACTATATTCAATGCTGCCAAGTTAAAGACTCAAATGTCTATTGCATTTACCATCAAGGAGATAGTTTATAATCTTTAAAAATTTTTCAGTTAAAGGAGAAATCTTGAGGCAGAAGAGGTGAAAATATAAAGATGACAGAACATGAAGACCAGGGGGATTTATAATTGAGGGGGAGGTTTTTATTTTATAAAAAAGAGAAAACAGAGTTGAACATGTAAGATAATGAAGATATTGATAGAAGACGTCCTTGATGTAGGAAATGGGATTCAAAGCATAGATAAAACATTATTTTTCAAGAAAGGAAAAAAAGAATACACCAAAAAACCCCCCATCAAACTGTGTGTGTGTGTGTGTGTGTGTGTGTGTATGTATTTTGGAAATTGTTGTAGAATAGAAAAATAAGTTTAGATACATCTGTACAGTATTATTCCCCTCTTATCCATAGAGGATATGTTCCAAGACTTCCAGTGGATGCTAATCCATGATTAGTACTGACCCTTGTGCATACTACGTTTTTCCTATACATACATACCAATGATAGTTTAATTTATAAATTAGACACAGCAAGAAATTAATAAAACAATTATAATATACAGTAATAATTATGTGAATGTGCTCTCTCAAAATGCCTTACTGTACTGTACTCACATTTTCACTTAAAGGAAGCACTTTAGGCTTTTCTTTGGCATATCAGAATTGCCAGCATCACTACTCTTATGGTTTGGGGCCATTATTAATAAAGTAAGGAAGGGTTACTTAAACACAAGTACCACAATAGTTGATCCGATAACCAAGATAGCTAGAAAGTGTCTAATGAGCAGGCAGTGGATAGAGTGTGGACACAGTGAACAAAGGGATGATGCATATTGAGGTGGGACAGAGTGGGATGGTTTGAGATTGTAGTACACTACTCAGAATGGCACGCAATTTAAAACTTATAATTTATTTCTGGAATTTTCCATTTAATATTTTAGATCATGGTTGACCATGGGTAACTAAAATTGAGAAAAGCAAAATGCAAATAAGGGAGGATTATTATATATCACCATTTTAACAATGGTGTTCTCTGTGGGATCAGATCATGATCTATATTGTTTTATTATGTTCTTCCATATTTTCAAAATTATCTATTATAATCACGTAACAATTTTTAAAAAATGTCTTTATCCCTTGAATTATAAAGAGTTATGCAGCACTAAAGCAAAAAATTTAGAAAACAATGTATTGCTTCCACAGATTGAGAAAATGAATGGCAGCTATATATTATTTAAGTTAACATTCTCTTAGAAAAAAGAACATGAATAACTGACCCACTCAGGCATGAATAAGAAATTCCAGTCTCTTAGCTACCTAAGTCTCCATTTTTTTAAAGAGAGGATTAATAAATCTCCACTTACAAAAGTAAAATTCAGGTATTTGGGGCTTATTATTAATTTAAAGGTAAGTTTTCAATACTGCCTTTCTTCCTGGCTAAAATTACTATTACTACTATTACTATTACTACTGAAGTATTAGTTTAATCATAAATAACATCCATTACTAACATTCATACTCACTGGCTATAATTTTAAAAAAGGAAAATTAAAAACGGGAGACTTACAACTGTGGTAAATTTGGTCTAACAAAGGGATCGTTTTCTGCGCCATTGACTGCTTTATTTTTCCTCTGTTTTGGTTCAGAGTTGGTAGAGGGTGCCTGAGAATTATTAGCTGTGGGAGGTTTGCGTTTGGCTAGAAGTTTCCTTTGCCTTTCAATATCTTCCCTTTGCTGATTCACCCATTCTTGTTGCCTGTATAAAATAAATGTAAAAAACCATATTAATGTTCCATTACTTTTCACAGTTGAAAAATGAAAATATATTAATAAACATAAAAGGTCACAAGACAGATTTTAACCTTTCTGATCCCTCCCTTGTGAGTCAACTGGTACTCACTGTTTATCTGAAACATCCATTTCTAAATGGGGTATCCATCTGTTAAGCCCCCTAGATTAGGCAAAGATCACACCCTCGCACAAGATGGCCACCCCCATGTGGACACAAGATAGCTGCCCCATGTGCCACAAGATGCTGCTTCTATGTCATCATAAGATGACTGCCACAAGATGGCTAGCAGGGGAGGGCAGGTATGGGCGACCAGGCTGGTAGAGGAGGGCAGTTGGGGGTGACCAGACCTGCAGGGAAGGGAGGACAGTTGGGGATGACTGGGCCAGCAGGGGAGGGCAGTTAGGGATGGCTGGGCCAGCAGGGGAGGGCAGTTAAGGATGGCTGGGCCAGCAGGGGAGGGCAGTTGAGGGTGACCTGGTTGGCAGGGGAGTGAAATTAGGCATCAATCAGGCTGACAGGGGAGCAGTTAGGGGACTATCAGGCTGGCAGGCAGGAGTAGTTAGGGGCAATCTGGCAGGCAGGCAGGTGAGTGGTTCCATTGTAATCCAGCAATCCTGGATTATGAGAAGGATCCTAGATTGGAGGGGGTGTAGGCTGGGCTAAGGGACACCCCCCAGTGCATGAATTTTGTGCACCGAGTCTCTTGTTCCTATAGATACTTGATCAGAATCGTCTGGTTGGACTACATCACTTCATGGGAGCAGACACTATATCTATTTTATATCTTATTAGAGGCCAGGTGCACAAATTCATATACAGATGGGGTCCCTCAGCCTGGCTAGTGATTGGGGCCAAATGAGGTTGGCCAGCCTTGGGAGGTTGGCTGTGTGAACACACTGACCACCAAGTGGCAGCTCCTGCGTTGGGTGTATGTCCCCTGGTAGTCAGTGCATGTCATACCAATTGGTCGTTCAGTCGACTGGTTGCTTAGGCTTTTATATATATTTAGACCAGAGGCCTGGTACACAAAATTCATGCACAGGAGGTAGGGGTAAGGTCCCTCAGCCTGGCCTGCATCCTCTTACAATCCAGGACCCCTCAGGGGATGTCCAACTGCCAGTTTAGGCCTTAAACTGACAGTCGGACATCCCTCTCTCAATCTGAGACCTATGGCTCCTAACTGCTGACCTGCCTGCCTGATCGCCCCTAACCACTCATCTGCCTGCCTGATGGCCCCTAATCGCCTCTGTGTTGGCCCTTGCCTCAGAGGCTTTGTCAGGAAGGATGTCCGGAAGGTTGTTGGGCTGTCTGGTCTAATTAGCATATTATACTTCTATTATTATAATAAAGCCTTTGAGTTTGACATGCTTGACCTAGGTAGAAGAGGTGAGAAAATCTCAAGAGTAGACTTTAATCCAGTTTTCAATTGAAAGTACAATTAAATCATTTCAACTTATGGAAAGTAAAAAATTATTGGAATGAATAGATAGCTAATACTTGATTAATTAGGAATGATCATACAATTTAGAGCCCATTAATTTAATATTACTTTTTATTTCTCTTCTCATTCTCCAAATACTTTGGGTTATATCAGTGGTACACACTGGTAAAGAGATTGATATAAAATGTGTATATGTGCCCTGTCCGGTAGCTCAGTTGATAACAGCATCATCCCTGATATGCTAAGGTTGCAGGCTCAAACCCTAGTCAGGGCACATACAAGAATCTACCAATTGCCTGGCAGGTGTGGCTCAGTGGTTGAGCAATAAGCTATAAACCAGGAGGTCAGAGTTAATTCCATGTGAGGGCATATGCCTGGCTTGTGGGCTCCATCCTCAGTGTGGAGCATGCAGGAGGCAGCTGATCAATGATTTTCTCTCATCATTGATGTTTCTATCTCCCTCTCCCTTCCTCTCTGAAAATAATAAAAATTATTTAAAAGAAAAAAAAAACTAAGCAGAAAAATCCCATATATAGATAGATGAATTATATATAGATGAGTGCTACATACATCATAAAACTTAAACAGGTGAATGTTAACTAGTCAAGAAGTCTGCTAAAGCTAAATTTATCTGTTTCATGTTCCTTTCAAATGTACTAAATTTATGATCTCAAAGAGTAATAAGAATAAATGTAGAACAAAATTCCAAATCTATAATCATTGAAAGTAATGAAAACCCAAAGGAATACTAAATTTTTAAAAATATAAGAATGACTAACTTCACAAGATTCTGAAATGCAAAACCATCTGTCCATTGTTCAGTAAATGAAGCACCATGTCTAACTGTTGTGAAGTGTCCAAGGCGTAATCTGTCTTGCATACTCTTCTCCCGGCTTGACAGTTTTTCTTGGTTACTCTGAAAAAAGGAGGAAAAATCAGTGCTCAATAATATTCATTTAAATTTTAAAAACATACAAGGCAAAGGGTGCTAGTAAAAGGGAAAGGAAATTTTTCAAACTTTTGATTTACCTTTTCAATAAGTAATTTCTTGCTCATTGATATGCACTTATTTAGTCGTTCTTTGTATTTTTCAAGTAATTTTTGTTGTTCATCTATTTGCCGTCTGAGATCACAGTTAGCCTACAAGAATAAGTAGAAAAATGGAAAAGATTTACAATTTGTATTTACGATACACTTTGGAATATTTTTAATGCTTTGAATAAATTAAATAAAGAGAAAGGATTAGTAAGATTATACACTTGAATATGATAATAAAATCTTTTGAAAAACATCTGCTTACCATGGGATAGTACTATTAAATGCTGCTTGATTGTGTAATGGAAAGTAAATGGAATTTATATTCATACTCAATGGGTTCAAATCCACTCTTTAAGTTATCTGAATCTTAGTTCAGTTGTCTTATTTTTAAAATATATTTTATTGATATTTTACAGAGAGGAAGGGAGAGAGCTAGAAATGTCTCAATGTTTCTCATTGAGAGAGAAACATCGACCAGCCTCCTTCTGCACACCCCCTACCGGGGATGTGCCTGCAACCAAGGTACATGCCCTTGACTGGAATCGAACCCGGGACCTTTCAGTCCGCAGACCGATGCTCTACCACTGAGCCAAACCGGTTTCGGCCCGTGCATGATTTTCATACATCGGGCCTTTAGTATTAATATAATGCCTCACTATATAGTAAAATGAATAAACTATATTACATTCACACATACTATACTGTTTGGTGAAGACAAGCAGAATAAACGGGTACATACAAAGTTCAAAAACAAACTGAAATAATGTTAAGAATGTTTAAATATCTATAACAAAGTGTAATATGCAAATAGACCAAATGGCCAAACAGTGGAATGACTGTCCGGACAACCACACTATGATACCCACCAGCGCTAGACCAGCTAAAGTGAGTGCAATGCAATTGGTTGGGGGCCCTGCCATTGCCTCATGATCACTCCAAAGAGGGAGGCCCAGGCCACCTACCAGTGGGCTATGGTGGGGGGGTGGGCGTTGAAGTGGGTGGGCGGGGCTTCTCTCTACGAGGGCAATCCATCCATGGCAGAGCCCTGGTCGGGTGCGCAGGGCCTCCCCCTCTGCTGGGTGATAAATCACAGGGTTCCCGGACTGTGAGAGGGAGTAGGCTGGGCTGAGGGACATCCTCCACCCCAACCAACATTTGTGCACTGGGCCTCTAGTATGTAATAAAACCATGAAAGGCATAATACAAAACTCAGAATGTGGTTGATGGTAAAGGGATGTGACAGTGAATGTGGCAAGGTCAGGAAAGGCACACATTCATTCAAAGTTATTGATCACTATGGTAGAATCATGGATATTGATTTTACTGAGTTTATACACCAGTGGTTCTCAAAGCTGGCTTAAATCAGACTCATCCAGAGGAACTTTTAACAAAGCTACCAATGTACAAACCCTACATCACATTAATTTAATCAGAACCCCTCAGGGTAGAGTTCTGGCATTAGTACTTTTATCAAGTGCCTAACCCCTTCCTTTCCATCATTCAGTGATTTTACTGGGCAGCAATGGGCGAGACCACTGCTTTATACTTCACTCACATTATAAGTATACTTTTTGATGTGTTTTTCAATAAAGTTTCCATTAAAAATCTTGCAGGATGGTAGCAATTACTTCATCATGTATAATTGCAAATGTTGGATTGTAACAAAATCAATTAACTTTTACCAGGAAATGGGTATCTCTGTCTTCTGGTAGTTGATTAAAAAAACTTTATTAACTTCCTTCTATTTCTTTTTTTAAAAATATATTTTTTATTGATTTTTTTACCGAAAGGAAGGGAGAGGGATAGAGAGTTAGGAAGATCGATCAGCTGCCTCTCCTGCACACCCCTTACTGGGGACATGCCCGCAACCAAGGTACATGCCCTTCACCAGAATCGAACCTGGGAACTTTCAGTCCGCAGGCCGACGCTCTATCCACTGAGCCAAACCGGTTTCAACTTCCTTCTATTTCTTCAACTGTTTCTCAATTAGCATTTTAAAAAACGAATAAAATAATTTTCACTTTAAAGTTGACATTTACAATCAAGTGCTTATACAACCAGAAAAGGCTTCTCAACTATAGAATTTTTTTTTGATAAAATTAAGTATTTTCTCAACAGTTTTACTATTGCCAATCAGCCTTCCCCCCATCCCACCCCCTTCCATAACTTACTACTTACCCTGAGCAAGTCATCTATACGACCTTCTTTCTTTTCCAGGTCCTGGTTTTTATTACTTTCTAATGCTGCTAATTTCAGCATTGTGAGATCAGTCTAAATGAAAGAAAACTATTTAATTATCTCCATTTTATATATATATATCATTGCATGTAAACATTAGATTTTACTGATTCTAAAAAGCAAAGATTTGATTTTATGTGTGTATGTAAAGGGTATTCCAAAAAGTATTGAGTGCAGTTTTAAGTTTTAGTCAGAAGTACAAGCACTATAAACTTACAAAGAAACATCTAAAGATTAGTTATTTAAAAGTTTAGAATATTGATATGTTCATCATTAAAATTCAATATAACCATTGCTTTATGCTATCAACTCTGAATTTTGAACATGGCAAAAACATGAGCTGTTCACTGACTGAAAGCAATGTACTTATTATCATAGCCTAGAGAGAACCCAAAAGTTCTGATGCATGTACAACAGTTTAGCCATCACCTAACAGAAAATGTCTCATGGCAATAAATTGGGCAACTGGGAGGTCAATCCTTGGTCTGAGTCAGTGACATTCAGAAACTGCCATATGTAAAAAGTTGAAATGAAATAGTATTCAAAATTAATAAAACTAAATTAGTGTAAAAAGTATCCAATTAATTCAATTTTCAAATAATTTTTCTAAGTGTGCAGCATACATAATATACATAGACACCCAAAATGAATGGCTTAAATGTCCATTTATAATAAATATAACAGCTTCATGAAGACACTGATAACTTGTATGTTAAGTTAAAAAAGAATCAGCAAACAGAATTGACAAATCATGGTGGTTCTGTTTATTTAATTTGTTTAAAACATCTATATATTTATAAAATAATAAAAGACAAAATGATAGTAAATTGGTTATTTCAGTTTCTTATCCCTTTTAAGTTGTATTTTTGTTTAGTAATAAGCTTTCTTGATGCATAATTTAACTTTATGACTATGTCCAAAACAAAGAGAAGACTTATGAGTTGTTTGTACAAAATTGGTCTCTTGTTTCTTAGAAATCATACCAATAAATCTCAATAACTATTTACCTGAGTAATTTTAAAGGATAACTGCTTTGGTTGTACAATAGGGTGGTCCCCAAAAGCTACTGCAATAGGAGAAGGGCTATTAGGTCGAACCTTAAAAAAATAAAAAATAAATCAAAATTTTACATCAGCAAGAAAAAAAATAGGCTTCTGTTTAGCAACAACTACTTAACATTTCCCTCCTCCCCTTTTTTAAATCCTCACCTGAGATATGTTTATTGATTTGAGAGAGGGGGGCGGGTATGATGAAAGAAGAGAGAGAAACATCGGTCAGTTGACTGACTGGGATAGAATCTTATATATATGCCCTGACTAGGAATAGAACCTGCAACCTTTTGGTGTATGGGATGATGCTCCAACCAACTGAGACACCCAGACAGGGCAACATTTCTTAAGTTTTTGTTAGGATAATAAATTTAATTAAAAAATAACTGACTTTGAAACTTTTAATAACCCTTTAGTCAATAAACATTCATTGAGTACCTCCCTCACAAAAGGCCCAGTGAAAGATAACTATATATTCCCTGCCCTCAAGTTTACATTCTTGTGTCACAGAGGAAATTGTAATGCTTTTAGTCAGTTAAATAAGATAAAGCATCATGTTAAAACAAAAACGTTAACATTATTGTGTTTTAAAAATAAAACTGAAAAAGATCTTGATGCAGAACTCTTAGTATTAGAGATAATGATGCATGCCAAAATACACCGTTTCCCGAAAATAAGACAGTGTCTTATATTAATTTTTTCTCCCAAAGTTGCGCTAGGTCTTATTTTCGGGGAAACATGGTAGTATAAGATCAATTTACTGATGAGTTTTGTGGCTTATCTAGTCACTAGTTTTAAAATACATTCATTGGAAGATTACATCATTGTATCAATACTAACACAACTCTTATTTATTGTTGAGTATTATGCTTTACTTTGTGTATGGCAAAATTATGTGCCCCAAAGTACAAAATGATTAAGGAACAACTCAGTATATGTCTAGAGACAAGGACCAGTAGGGCACAGTGTAAGAACAATCAAGGTACTTAAATAAGAGATACTCTAATTTTCAAAAATCTTTAATTCATCTTTAAATTACTGAAAGCCAATATAGTTTTTCTGGTTAGCCATTGAACTTCCACATAATCAAAGTAAAGAAAAAACGAAATCTGATGTATAAAACAATGTAGATAAAAGAACTAGGTTTTAAAATGTTAGGAATAGCTGAAACCGGTTTGGCTCAGGGGTAGACTGAAAGGTCGCAGGTTCGATTCCAGTCAGAGGCATGTACATTGGTTGCGGGCACATCCTTTGTAGGGGTGTGCAAGAGTCAGCAGGTCGATGTTTCTCTCTCATCGACGTTTCTAGCTCTCTATCTCTCTCCCTTCCTCTCTGTAAAATACCAATAAAATATATTTCAAAACAAACAAACAAAAAAAAACATATAAAAAGTGTTAGGAATAAAACAAAAAGTTATTAATTTTCAGATCCAATACTGAACTCAGGTCCTATACTGAACTAAATAATCCAAGGCTGATGGCTACCTATCTTTTTCTTAAAGATACTCAGAAAGGAATTATGTGATCATTTCAGTGGTTGAGAAATATAATTCATAAGAAAGTTAAAAGTTAGAAATGATTTACTTGATATAGACTGATTTTATAAGAATATTCATATTAGTCTCATAGACTCAACAGCCTTCTTTTATAGAAACATTACTTCTTGGATATTTTTAGTTCAGAAAAACTGTATCTCACTTTCAGAAGTAAAGTTCTAATAACACCAAATTACTAAAAAGGACTCAATTCACCTCACAGAATGATTTTAAAAAGATAAATAATATATAGAAAGACAATTTATATATATAAAAGGCTAAGTGACCGGCTGACCATCTGGTACATATGATGTGCACTGACCACACCAAGGGGCAGATGCTCAACACAAGAGCTGCTGAGCTGCCGTGAGTTGGCAGAGGCGGTTCTTGGATAATGCACCCCGGAACCAGAGAGGAGGGAGCCTGATTCCTCACAGGGCCATACGACTCCATGTTCGGTGGGGGGTTTATTGCTGGGAAACTGTTGACCCCAAATCTAGTTTACTGCCAAGCTGCGGTGACTTGGCAGCAGTGGTTCTTGGGTTAATTTCCTTTCAATGGGCACAAATCTGTGCAGTGGGCCACTGGTAAATTATAACAGTTACTCAGTATACATAACTTCCCAGACATAGGACTATGCACATAAATACTTACAGATGAGGAAGGAGTGGAATGTGAGTGTGAATTCTGAGGAGAACGGATTGCAGGAGGTATGCCTCTTACTGGACTTGAGCCATTCCCACCTTGGTACTGAGCAAAAAAAGAAAACATCACTATTAAAACAGGTTTAGATAAATGTTATTTTGGATATAGCATTAAGAATTTAAATATATCTATGTTATTTACATCAAACAGTCATTTAAATAGGTCAAGAAAAAGCAAAACTAGTATTATTCACAGCTAAGTCCTAAAAGACTAAAGAGAGAATACTGATCATAAGAACATGACAGGACTATGTCTTGTACAGACCTTTATTTCTTGAACATTCTTACTGTATATAAGTTGTTGTGGCAGACTCAAAGACAAATTCCCCCAACATAATAAACATATCTTATTTTCCTTCAAATTTTAGCACAAAACTAAAGTCTAAAACTCAACCATAACTTTTATGTTGTAGCAATAGTATTGACACAATGATGTTATCGATATAACATGTTTGTTGAAAAGAGTATAATTCCTAATCTGAAAAATGTTAGCATGTTTATATGTAGATGTTTGTGAACATAATCATTTAAAACAGAATCATCATTCTCAAGATGTTAAATATCTGAATGTGTGTAGCACTTTATAAAGGTATTCTACAGACCAAGTCCCTTCCTTTTAACAGCACAAAATCTAACAAAAATAGATCCTTTCTTACACGCATGACATGTATTACAGTGCATGACTTAGCTACACAGGAAAGGAAATTGCCTTTCTTTCTCATTTGGAAAGAAAATGTGTTGTTATTGGCTTCCTCTCAGGATATTTAGTTTTTATTTATTTATTTATTTTTATTAAAAAATATATATATATATTTTATTGATTTTGTACAGAGAGGAAGGGAAAGCGATAGAGAGCTAGAAACATCGATGAGAGAGAGTCATCGATCAGCTGCCTCTTGCACACCCTCTCCTGGGGATGTGCCCGCAACCAAGGTACATGCCCTTGACTGGAATCGAACCTGGGTCCCTTCAGTCCCCAAGCAGACGCTCTATCCATTGAGCCAAACCGGTTTCGGCCTCCTCTCAGGGTATTTAGCATGAGCAGGAGAGATGGGGACTTCCTAGTGTGTTCATCAAACAACTTCTTGCAACCTAAGAATTTTGTGTATCCTATTTCAATCTATAATACCCAGAACATAGTAGGCATTCAAGAGACTTGAAATTGTATTTGAATTGATCTCACCTTTGGCAAAGATTCTTAATGATATTAACAGTGAGAGACTAAAGAGCATTAGGTATCTCGTGATCAACTACAGTTTTACCTTAGATTCTGTAAACCCAAAAAACAATGTAAAGTAGAAAAAAATGTTTTTAACTAGCAAATTATTTTCTTATTCTCAAGTAAATATATTTTTCAGCTGAATAGATAATGTTTGCCGTTTTAATAATCATATTGTTTTGTAATGTGAAACTGGTAGCCAAAGATGTTTCTGTGTAAAAGCAAGGATATATTGCAGGACTAAGAATGTAAATTTACCACTGTTTATTATTTACAGGGACTCTTAGACTGACATTATTTAATCTCCATCCATAGGGCTCAAATAGTGCTGTGGTGTAGTAAATCCTATATTGACAATAGAAAGAATTCTGAACTGGAGGATGTTAGACTTTAAGTTCTAAATGCTCTTCCATTTAGAATTTGTCATTAGGTAGGCTACTTTACATTTCTGGTCCTCAGTTTCCTCATCTGTAAATAACTATTTTGCAGATCTCTCAAGTTGTTACAAGCAAAGATATGAGAAAGTACTTTGAAAATTATGATGTACTATCCCAATACAGAAGTAAATTTTAATGTTCCTAGAAAGACAGGACATCACATAGAATGAAGCTTTCTTTGCTCCAATCAAATAGATAATAAAAAGTTGGCCTTGTGCTTCAAAGAAATTATCTTAGCCCATACCAGATTTATATGAAGAACTAAAAGAGATGAACCGAAGAATGTTTATACTTATATGCATAGTACATGACACAGAGGATAAGGGGATGAAGACATGGGAGGAGGGAAGGGAGTGAAGGGGGAGAAATACTATCAACAATAAAAAAATATATATTTAAAAAACAAAAATCCCCACCAGAGATGGTCCTCAATGACTTACTTCAAAATAGTCGCTAATTTTGTGGCTACGTCCCCCAATACTTTTTCCTAAAATATAAAAGTAAAAATTTTTATAGATTTAAAGTCAGTCATTAATATTACTTAAAATCCTCTAATTTCATTAAAGCAAATCAATTTTTTTAAACTAAGAGACAGCTGTATAATTGACAAACCTATATAATAAAAAAAAGTTGGTTAACACAAACCATAACAAACTGGCAATAACATGCTTTAATATGAATGCTATTTCTAAAAATGTTTTCATTCTCTAAAAAGTATTTCTAAATTTATAGGCTTTTTAATAAAGTACATTTTAAATATTGTACAGTTTATGACCACATATTGATACAGTGATCTAAATAATTACAGATCACAATTCTTTAATTAAAAGCTTTGCTCTAAAATGGACTCAGTTTTATAAAAACTGAATTTGGAAGCTCTTAAGAAATATGATATTTATAGAAACTTTTTTGAATGGGAGTCAACCAACCTTCATTGGAACTATACAGAATACATGATTTCTTCAAGTTACAAACAAAAATATGATACCACAGAGTCAAAAGTTTTAAATAACAAAAACATATAGCTTTGTCAATTCAATACTAACTTATATTCATCTATTTTATTCAACAAATATTTCTTGAGTGGTTATTATATGCCAGGCATTACTGAGGTGAATAAATAATATATTTAAAGTTCAACAACCTTAAATTTGTACTTGGAACAAGGTAGGGCACTATTTTTTAACTCTAAATAAGAATTCAGAACTATAAATGTTACCTAGAAATTTGTGAACAATAATTTTGTACAGGTTAATTTAAAGTTCAGAGAAGACTATAAAGGTTTTATACCAAAGGAATGTCCTTTCAACAGCTCTCCTGGGTTCTGAAGAAGTACTATTTTTAAATGAACATTGAGACATTTTGGGTTACCTACCCACAAACTATTTGCTCACTGAACCCAAATTTTGTTCTGTTAACATTCCTTCTCCTACTAGTACATAGCACATGTAACTAATACCACCTCAATTCCTAGTTCTCCTTCTGGTAAGAAATCTAATTTTGTTCAGCTATCATCCCTTTTCCATAAAGCCTGCATTTCTGATGGGAACTTTAATTCATTTTCAATTTTAGAGATGGGTCTGATTTTTTTTTTCAAGGGCAATAATACCTTTGCTGGACATAAGTGGTGTTGGAATGGACACATGTCCCAATTCTTGTCTACAGGAATGCAGGAGAGGTTTGCTTTAGAATTAAAGAAGTTCATTCCAAAGAATGAGAAGAAACCCTGGAGTAAAGCCAGCCCTTTCTTTCTTTTTGTCTTAGTGTTAGCCTCTTTGGGTTCATCTTGTCTGGGGGAGTCTGCGTTTCCTGAGCTTGTGCATCTATTTCCTTCAACAGGTTAGGAAAGTTTTCTGTCATTATTTCTTCAAATAAGTTTCAATTCCTTGCTCTTTACTCCTCTTCGGTACCACTTTGATGCAAATGTTTGTTTAGAAGCCCCCCTTAATCCAGCCCCTTTCATAAAGCAAATATGAGTGGGGAAACTGACATGAGCAAATCCAATTAAAACTGGTAACCAGCCTAAGACCAAAAGAAAATCAGACAATCTGCATAAGGCAGGCCACAAAGAAAAAAAGTTGGTTCTTAAAGACATATGTTGAATTAACCAACCCAGAAATCCTTCCCTATTTTGAGACCTGTTTTTACTGAGTTTTTAAATCTGAAGTTGAAACTATCATAATTAATTTATTTTTACACTATATATAAAGCTCCAAGCACATTAACCCAAACTTGGGGAACTACATTAATACCAAAAAGGAGCTCAGGAGACAGATTAACATACAAAGTACCACAAACCTAGAGAAAGGTGCTGCAATGATTTAACTCCTTTCTTCTGGAAAGACAACTGCTACACACACATTCTTTGGTGCCAGTGCCATTTACAGGTCACAAGATTATTGCTCTAGATCTTAAAGAATAATCATGTAATATATGTATAAAATTACTATTATATAAGTTTTAAGAGCCCATTTTATTACATTTACTATAGAGGGCCAAATTAAATGATAATACTATTTTTGTTATCCATTATAAAAATTCTAAAGTCTAACGAAAACAATTTTCTTAGCTCATATCACAAAAGGTAGGTATGCAAAAAGGATAAAGAACCGATCTGAAAAGAAAAAGATAGTGCTTTTATAAATTTCTTAATTATTTTTATATAGTTTTTTTTTTTTAATAAAAGGAATGAGTAAGTGTGGATATTTGTTTTAAAATGAGATCTCAAGTTCTTATTCAATACCATAAATCATATAAAAAGAGAAAAAGGAAAGGTGCTAAGGTAGTGCTTGCCAGGTGCTTAACACTTAGTATTAGCAGATCTTCTTTGGCCTTTTAGGTTTCCAGAGCAAGAGGTGTCAATGAACTGAATTAGGTAAGTGAGCCAAAAAAGGGAGAAATGTTAAAAAGCCTAAACAGTAACCACACACTATTTATGGTACAAAAAGATTCCAATTTCATATTATTATTTCTTATGCAAAGTACATAAAGTACATTCCTAAACTATTATTAAATGCAGAAATTACACAGAAGTCATAAAAAATCACAAAAAATAAAATTACTGATTTAACAATTACATTATTAACTAATTAAAAATCAGAATAACTGTAAATACCTATTTAGCTCTGAAGGAAGATTTTACTTCACTTACCCTGACTACTTTCATTCTGATTTTCTGCTTTTCTCTTTCTTCCTCTGGATGATTCCGATTGTTTCTTCTCTGGTGTCTACAGAAAGCAAAGTTTACAGTTTTAAATCACAGTTTTAACATACAAAATTATTATAGTCAGTATAAAAATCATTTTTAAAGTAAAATACCGAGTGGGGCAAAAGTAGGTTTACATGTTCATATGGAAAATACAATAATTAATAAATAACAACACAAGAATAAATTCTTGTATATTCATAACCGTAAACCTACTTTTGCCTAGGCTTATTTTTTGTTTTGCTCAATAATACTCACACAATGTAAATGTGCACATATATACAATTATTTTTAAAAACAAACATAATTTCCTAATTTGTACATTTTAAAAATTCAAAGTATACTAGCATAGAACATCTTGTAGACATTATTTGAAATTCACATTTACAGAATGTAACTTGAGGCAAATGAAAAATCTAAGTGTAATTAACCTTTAAAAATGCCCTTTAAATTCTTAACTGGTGAGGGCAAAACAAACAACAAAACCTATGTTTTTCCTATTCATACATAGTTTGTACATAAAAGTAAGCTTGAATAAGGAAAAAAAAAATGCAGAACCCAAACTTTGATTTTAACTATCCTACTAAAAGAACCATTCACCTAAGTGCCTAACAATCATTAGCCAGTAACAAATTATAGTAAATTCGCACATTATGCTTGGCCAGTAATGGATCAGTGTTGAACGCTGACCTATGAACCAGGAAGTCACAGTTCCATTCCCAGTGGAGGCACGTGGCCGGGTTGTGGGCTCCATCCCCAGTGTGAGGTATGCAGGATGCAGCCAATCAATGATTCTCAATACTGATGTTTCTATCTCTATCTCTCTCCCTTTCCCTTCCTCTCTGAAGTAAATATATATAAAATCATACATTATGCTCTAGATCAAGGGTCAGCAAACTATAGCACACAGGCCAAATCTGGCTGGATACCTGTTTTTTTTTTTTTTTTTTTTAATAGAGTCTATAATTTAAGCATAGCTTTTACATTCTTATATGACTGAAAAATTTAAAAACAAAAAGAATATTTTGATAAGAAAATTATAAGAAATTTAAATTTCAGTATCCATAAATAAAGTTTTATTAGAACACAGCCACACTCATTCATTTATGTATTTTGTATGATTGCTTTTTATATTACAACATCAAAGTTGAGTAGTTTCAACCTAGACCATATAGCCCACAAAGCCTAAAATAGCTGGCCCTTGCCGAAACCTGTTTGGCTCAATGGATAGAGCGTCGGCTTGGGGACTGAAGGGTCCCGGGTTCGATTCCGGTCAAGGGCATGTACCTTGGTTGCGGGCATACCCCCAGTAGGGGATGTGCAAGAGGCAGCTGATCAATGGACTCTCTCTCATCGATGTTTCTTTCTCTCTCTCTCTCTCCCTCTCTCTCTCTCTCTCTCTCTCTCTCTGTACAAAATCAATAAAATATATTAAAAAAAATAGCTGGCCCTTTACAGAAAAAGTAAGCAGACCCCTGCCCTACGTGATGGCTTGTTTTCAAATTACAGATTTGTTCTTTTAACTGAGAATAAGTCTTTTCATCAGGCTAAAATAACAAGTAATTTTTGTAGAGTCTAACAGACTGTTGTGCTTAGATAAAATGAAAACCAAGAACAATGGCACAAGGCAATGGCACCGGCCCTCGAATTCTAGAAGCTGGGCAAATATGTCTAGTTCCAGAACAAAGAATATTTGAATGAATGATACATCAAAACAAATCTCTAAAGGCAATGCAGTTCCCAAACAAAGAAGGGGCTTAATCTTTATCTGATGCTTCCGAGTAGTTCTATGATTACATAGTATGAATGACAATACATAATCTAGCTCATATTGAACATCTATGGGTCCTTTAAGTATTATTTGGAGAGTTTTAAGTTCTTTCACCTCCATTTTGTCAACAAGACAACAGATTCAGAGATGCTGAAGTCAACTGTACAAGCCTTTGAATTCTTTAAAGACAGGAGTCATACCCTCTCCCCATGTCTCTGCTCCCACCCACATGCCTGGCACATAATTATTACTTGATAAATGCAGGAATATTAAATAACTTACTCAAGGTAACCAGGATTCAAATCCAATTCTGTATATTTCCAATGTCTAAATGAATTATTTTCTCTGTGTAACATGCTATATGCTCTACATCAAAAACTGAATGAATCAAATATGCAAAAATATTTCAAAATTTTATTAAGTTCATAAGTAAAATTCATTATGTCAGTAATCTGCAAATGTTTTAAAATCACAAATGAGAGAACTTAAAGAAACCCATCATAACTGGCAATCTACTCAGGAGATAGACTGATGAACCAGCAATTTAGGGTAAATAGTTCTTAGTTTAGTTTCACTGTCAAAATTAAAAAACAAAACAAAAAACCACCACACACATAAAAAAAAAAAAAAAAAAAAAAAACACCCTTAAACTTGCCCTGGCCAGTGTGGTTCAATGGTTGGAGTGTTGGTCCATGAATTGAAGGGTCTTGGATTTGACTCCCAGCGAAGGGTCTGGACCTCAGTTGCAGGTTCCCCAGCTCTGGTAGGGGCACATGCAGGGGGCAACCAATCAATGTATCTCTCTCACATTGATGTTTCTCTCTCTATCTCTCTATTCCCTCCCTTCTACTTTCTCTTTAGAAATCGATGGGGAAAAAATCCTTAGATAAGGATTAAAAAAAAGATATAAAAAAAAGGTATAAAAAAAAAGGAGATTCCAAAATGGTGGCAGAGTGAGATGATGCTACACTGACATGTTCCCAGGACCAAACTGGAATTACAACTAAAATACAAAATCAACTGAAGACTATCTGGAGAGAACCCAGATAAAGAAGTATGGAATGTGGAGACGCATAGAGACTGGTAGGAAGTGCGGAGGTGGGAAAGGGCTGGCAGGATTCCCGCACGCAGCAGCTGAAGTTGAGAAGTTCCGGAGAGATATCTCAGTTGTTGGGGTTCCCTCTGTGAACTCTAGGGTCTAAACCCCAGGATTCCCAGCCTAGAGCGCCAATACCGAGAAAGGTGTTCACATAACATCTGGTTGTGAAAAGCAACAGGGTTGCTGTCTGCCAGGGAGAGAAAGCTGGATATATAGGCACTTTCTTAAGAGGGAGAATGCACACAATCAATAGATTCAATGCAGTCCCTATTAAAATACCAATGGCATATGTCACAGATCCAGGACAAATACTCCAAAAATATTTATGGAACGAAAAAAGACCCCGAATAGCTGTAGACAGCAATCTTGAGAAAAAAGAACAAAGTTAGCAGGATCACAATACCAGATATCAAGTTATACTACAAAGCCACTATAATCAAAACAGCCTGGTATTGGCACAAGAACAGATATATAGATAAATGGAACAGAACAAATACCCCAGAAATCAAACCAAGCCATTATGCTCAATTAATATTTACCAAAGAAGGCAAGAGCATACAATGGAGTAAGGACAGTCTATATCATAAATGGTATGGGAAAATTGGACACATGCAAAACAATGAAACTAGATCACTACTACTAACTTATACCATACACAAGAATAAACTAAAAATGGATAAAAAGACTTAAATGTAAGTCATGAAACCATAAAAATCCTAGAAGAAATCACAGGCAGCAAAATCTCAGACATCTCTCATAGCAATACATTTACAGATACATCTCCTAGGCAAGGGAAACAAAAGAGAAAATAAACAAATGGGACATCAAAATTAAAAGCTTCTGCACAGCAACACCATCAACAAAACAAGAAAGCCCACTGCATGGAAGAACATAATTACCAATGATACATCTGAAAAAGGGTTAATATCTAATATATATAAGGAACTCATACAAGTTAACAAAAGGAAGATAAACAACCCAATTTAAAAAATGGGCAAAAAACCTAAATAGATACTCCTTCCAGAGTGGACATACGTATGGCCAAGAGATATATGAAAAAAATGCTCAAACTCACTGATCATCAGAGAGATACAAATTACAACGACAAAGAGGTATCACCTCACACCTATCAGAATAGTTATCATCAACAAGTCAACAAATAACAAGTGCTGGCAAGGATGTAGAGAAAAGGGAACCTAGTACACTGCTGGTATGAATGCAGTCTGGTGCAGTCATTATGGAAAACAGTATGGAGTTTCCTAAAAAAATTAAATATGGAACTGCCATTTGACCCAGTGATCCCAAATCTAGGAATATATCCTAAGAAACCAGAAACACCAATCAGAAAGAATGTATGCACCCCTTTGTTCATAGCAGCACAACTTACAATAGCTAATATTTAGAAACAGCCCAAGAGCCCATCAGTATATGAGTATTTAAAAAAGCTGGGGGACATTTATACCATGGAATACTATGCAGCAATAAAGAAGGATCTTTTACCCTTTGAGACAGTATGAAGGTATCTGAAGAGTATTATGCTAAACAAAATAAGCCAATCAGAGAAAGACAAATAGCATATGATATCACTCATATAGGTTATCTAATGAACAAAATAAAATGTTGAACAAAACAGATCCTGAGATTGTCAAATACTGGAGGGAAGGCAGGGGTGTGGTGGGTGGGAAGAGATCAACCAAAGAACCTATATGCATATATGTGCAGCCCATGGACACAGACAATAGGGTGGTGGAGACCTGGGGTAGAGGCAGACTGTAAGGGGTCAATAGGAGAAAAAAGGGGACATATGTAATACTTTCAACAATAAAGATTTATAAAGTAAAATAAAAAGTTCAAATTTAAATAATAACCAATGTTCTATTTTCCTCAGAATAAAAGTATCACCACATTTTAAAATACTTCACTGAATATATATTTCAAGATATTTAAAGTATTATTTTTAAAGACACATAGAGTGCTCACTTCAGCACACATACTAAAACTGGATATAGAAATTAGCATGATATGGCCCCTGTACAAAGATGACATGCAAATTTGTGAAGCATTCCACATATTTTAAATCATAGGAGTACAATGTACAGCATAGGGAATATAGTCAATAATATTGTAGTAATTATGTATAATGACAGATTGT